CATCGGTCACAGTTTGCTTTGCATAAAACAGGGTGAGCTTCACCAGTGACACACCAGTGAGTTTCTGGTTTGGGTTCTGCCAGAGTTTATTATAGACAAATCATTTCGTTGAAGGAGTTGGTGCCATGAACCATAAGCAAGCCCCCTTGAGAGCAGAAGCCTTCCAAATCCTGTCTTTCCATCTATCACAGTTTGCCTGAATGTTCTGGGAAAAATATTAACTGTGTTCCAAAAATTGGAGAGTTGCAGTGTTTATTTCCAGCTGTTCTAAAGAGAAGATTGTATGGGTGGGACTGGAGGGATAGGGAGTTTTGTTTTGTTTAGTTTTGTACTCGGGATTGACCCTAGGGCTTTTGCACTGAGCTATATTCCCAGCACCCTCTGCCCTCTTTCTTTTTCAGACAGTGTTTTGCTAAGTTTCCTGGGGCTGGAACTTGGGATTCTCCTGGCTCAGCCTTCTAGTGTGCTGGGAATACTACACCCAGCTGTGATTGGGGGTTTAGGAGAACTGAAGAGTAATACATTTGTTGAACTAGTGATAAAGGAGACTGAATGCATCTTGCATGTGTTTTATGGGTTACACAAAAGCTGCTGTGCCCTGTCCTCTGGGACTACCTGCAGGAAAAGGCCCTACTTTGGGGACTTGCAATGAAATGTGATGTTAACCAGGAAGAAAATAAAAAAGATTGTTGTAAGAAAGGATTCCCCCAAACAAGAGGGTAAGTGTAAGTGTGTGTGTGTAGGTAATTTGATGCTCACAGTAGTTTTTAAAGGAGGCATTATATGTTTTGTGGCAGATAAAACGGGCTGCCACTTCAAATACACCAGAGGTAGGATTTGAACGCAGATCTTCCTGACTGATGAGGTTATGGAAGGTTCCTGAGTCTCCTCTAGTTCATTTCAGATGTGGAGCTCAGAGGTCATCTCTAAAGGTCCTTTCACAATAACTTCCTGGGAGTCTGTGAAGTCTGGTGGAGGATTCAAGGAAGAGGTGTGACTCAGTTGCTCTGTGCTGAAGAGATGTAAGATCCAGTCTTTACTCAGGGGGCTTCTGGAGTCTTTGTGATGAGATCAGCATATGAAATAGTGCAGAACTTGTAACTGTGTCCAAGCTGAGTGGTAAGACTGTTCTCTAGACGTTTTGAGGAACAAGCTCAGTGTAGATTGACACAACAGAAATATTCAAAGAGCTCCTTAAGTTGTCAGTCATTTCAGCAGGGGGAAGAATGTGCCTAAGAGCTGGGAGGAGTTGTTTTGTTGCCAGGTGGAGCACTGGAGCTGTGACAGTGGAAGAGGGCAGTGGCTGGGTGGCAGTGTGGGTGGGTGGGTGGGTGGTCCCGGTAGGTGCCAGGGAGTATTAAAAGTTAAATGATGTTTACCTTAAATTTTTTTCTTTTGATACTGGGGTTTGAACCCAGGGTCTTCATGTGGAAGGGACTCCATTCCAGCCCCTTTTAAACATTTTGACTCAATATCTCTCTGAACTGCCCAGGTTGGGCTCAAATGTGGCACCCTCGTGCCATGGGAGTGCCTTGCAGAGCGCCTGGATTGCAGGCCCTTATCACCCTGTGCCACTTACCTTATGTTTTATCTGTCTGGTTAGTTGTCCAGAAGATTTTTGACTTTCTCAAATTGTTGAACTTTGGAATGATTTTGCTAAAGTGGTGTTGACTGTGGGAGGTCGGGGCATACATGTCATATATTTCTTGTGCTTGTTTTCTTTTGCTCAGAATCTTGTATTTTATGCATGGACGAAATATTGTAGGCTGCCCAGTAGGCAAAAATGATGCTTGATAATAGTTTCTACTTCTAAAAAGTTTGAGAGGTGGGTACTTGGGATGGATTTTAAGTCCTAGCACATGTCGGGCACCTGTCCTACTATGGCCTGTATGGCCAATTCGCGGTCTTGGTTTACAATGAGCAGATTCAGTATGAGGCTGTCCTCCTGTCTCAGCCTTCTGAGTGCTGAGAGAAAAGATATCTTAAATGCTTAGTACTGCAGTTACTAAATAAAATGCCCAAGAGTTTGAGCATCATGATTTTGCTGGGAAGTACGTCACCCCTGAGACTTTGACAGTTGTCCCACTTGCGTAGGCTGGTCTAAACACTGGTGAAGATAGTCCTTAAGGGCTCGTAAATGACAAACTTTGCTTATATTTAGAACTGTCTTAGATTATGGCTCTTAGTGAATTCCATTTACAGCCCCCTCCCCCCCCCACCTTTTTGGTTTATTTTGCAGACAGTTGGAAGCAGCATTGTTTTCTTCAGCCACAGGTGTGTTCTTCTGATAGGGAAACCTTTCTTAAAGAGAGAGAAAATGACATAAGATAAAAGAAAGTGTGAAGGATGTATGTACAGATCCTGTCTTCTCTTTTAATTATTTCTGTATTTGTGAAAGGCTAAGAACGCCTTATGTTGTGTTTCACTCCATGTAAAGTTTCTGTCTGCTTAAACAAGGGGGAAATTGTCTGTTTTTTTCCAGTTTTGCTACTATTGGGTTGCTGTTTGCATCCTATTATCTTAAACAACTGCTTTTTACTTTGTCCAGGACCCAAGAGGAGTCATTTACAGAACAGCGCCCCCAGGGTTACAGACAAGAAGTAAACTCTTGGTGGTATATACTTAACAGTGGTGCTCAGATTTTTAAAAATTTAAATAATTTTTTTAAATTGACACAATTGTTTCTGTTCATGGCCTATAGTGTGATAATTCAGTACATGGATATAATACACAATGATCAAATCAGAGCAATTAGCATTTCCATCTCTTCAAACTATCTTTCTTTTTGTGATGTGTGTCTTCCAGTTCTTTATAAAACACATATTAAATTACATACTTCGGATTTTGAAGTTACTTAAATAAATACTGGTGGAATTTCCATCAGGACCTAAAATTTTAGTAGAAATAAATTAAGTCTATAAACAAAGGATTGCTTCAAGCCAGCTGGCTGCCACCAGGGCTCTGCAGGGGGATCCTGGCCGCCATGGTCTGCCTAGAGCCAGGCCAAGCTGTCAGTGTGGGGCAGGTATGCCGTCTCAGCAGGAGGACCTGCTTCTGAGGCCAAGCTAGGTGGCCTGGTAGCTGACAGCCAGCATGGGGCTGCAGCCAGCTCTCTGGTGCCTAATCTGTACCCAGCTTGGGCTCTGTCCACTCCGCAGCTGTCAGTTAACAGGACATTTCTTTTCTGGACTTCGAAAATACACTCTTGTTTCTGGAAATGGGCCTAGACACAGAAATAGCCCTTCCCACTGGGTGGCCACCTGACCTCAGTCATTGGGGAAGGGAGGTGGGGCAGGTAGAGTCCCAGCATCTTCCAGATTCCAGGACAACCCAGACCCTGTGCTGTTCTGGAAGTCCCTGCTCCACCTAGGTCATTGTAATAAAGAGGACTGTCATGTCTGGAAGTGCTTCCACCCCCACCTCTTTAGCATTTACCAGTAGCTGTCAGTGGATTCCAGAGCTTTTGCTTACGGTGAAGGGCATTTTTTAAAATTAGTAAACATGCATTTCAAATTCCTAACGTTGCCGGGCATAGTGGCTCACACCTGTAATCCCAGCACTAAGGAGGCTGAGGCAGGAGGATCGTTTCGAGTTCGAGACCAGCCTGGGCTACAAATGAGCTTGAGGCCAGCCTGAACTGCATAGGGAGACCCTGTCTCAAAAAGACAAAAAACAAAACAAAAATCAAATTCCTAATGTTTTCTTTTTCCCTTTCAAAGTATTGTAGGGTCTTTGTTTCTACTAACAAAGATCTTCAACTAGCAATTACGTTAAGCCTTAATAATAGCTTAATAATAGTTAATTCTTTTGTTGTGCCTGGGTTTAATGATAAGTACGAATTCTTCATATAAACTTGCTGAATTCTTAACTCTGACTGCTGTCTTCTGGAAATTAAAATTACCATTTGTAAAATGTATTAGTTTGGAGGGTACTTTTAGAATTCTGTGAAGTTTTAAAAATTAACTTTTAAAAGATCATCTTTAAACAAAATGAAATAATGTGGTAAGAATTATATTTGGAGAATCCAGTTGGTAGGTGAGTTGATTATTTCAATGCATAGTGTCATGATTTGCTTAAGAGATAAGTAAAGATTGGGCTGGGACATGGCTCAGTAGTAGAGTGCTTGCCTAATGTGCAGAAGTTCCTGAGTTTGATTCTCAGCAACGCACTCACATGTTATGCAGTGCACAAAGCTGGTCATGGGGAGGAGGCCAAAGCAGGAGGATCACACATTTGAACTTAGTCTGGACAAGATAGTGACTTACTGAGATTCTGCCTCAAAAAAGATCTGAGCGTCGATATAGTTCAGTGCAAAGACTCTGCTTTCAAACCTCATTATCACCACCCCATAAAAAGAATTAGAAAAGAGATATGTCAGAACTAGCTGAAATTTCATGTTTTAGAGTCAAAATAGAATATATAAGCTAAGGTCTTGATAATTTCCCAGACCAAGAAGGTGTGAGGTGACAGATTCAGAGCATTCGTTAGGTGTCAGCACAGAGGCTGGCGAACAGAAGGGACATTATGGTGAGTGGGCTGCTACTTTCCTTTAGGAAGAGTATGTTTTAAAAAGTGATTTGAGCTAGATCTGGTGGCATATGCCTGTGACCTCAGTTCTCAGGCAGTTGAGGCAGAAAGACTGCTGTGGTGTTCCTAGCCAGCCTGGGCTAGGTAAGAAGGAAAGAGGAGAGGAAGGGGAGGGGAGAACCAGTGATTGACACAACCACTGGTGCATTTACTGGATACACTGCGCCGCTTTGGAGGGAAACCCAACCATGTGTCAGGACCATGTGCCATGATTCACCTGAATCTTTTATATTTTAAGCAATTCTTTTATTCATCCAGGGCATCCATCTCCTTGGCTTTGCTACAACCCTCCACCATGGGACTGCTGGACCATGCAGATACTGAGTGTCCCTATCTGTAAAACGGGGAGGGGTATCCAAGACCTAAATGCTGTTATAGAGGAGCTTTTGCCTTAGGTGTTTCCTGGGGTGGGAGGCGAAGGTGGGGAGCTGCTCAGTACCTTCCTTTGGGGGGAACTACATTTTAGTTTATTGTTCATCTTACAGGTTAGTGACTGTATTAGGAACAGCTGCCGCAGAATCCTTTGGGAACTCTCCAGAGTTTGTTCTAGTTGGAGCTGTCTTTGCTGGGTTCTGAGTGGGTGCTATCTCTCCCTCCACACTGGTGCCCTGTTCAGCTTGTAATGTGCCACCTGTGGAATGCAAGGAAGGGACTATCCCATCCCTGCCCTTAAGGAGTTTCTATTCTATTTGTGAAGGAGAAGGGCTGTGAATGCAGGGACATTTATAGCCTTCCAGGAGAGATAATGTAAGGGGCCCAGTGTTATGAATTGCCAAATGAGGGGTGCAGACATTAATTGCCTAGGAGTTCAGACTGAGAGCCCAGGGGCACAAGGCCTGCCAGCGGAGACTGCACTACTGAATTTCAAGCTCTGTTCTGAGGAGAACTGAGATCCTGCCTGAGGCAAAAGCGGGGGGGTCATAAGGGAGGCAGGATTTGCAGGAAGGAGGAGGACATCCTAGTGAAAAGCAGGGCTTCGGAACACTTGTTCCATGTGTGGGGTTTGAATGTCAGCTGTAGCTTCCAGTTTGAGAAGTTCCCGTTTCTCCAGTGACCTAATGCTCTTCACGGGCCCTGAAACCACAAGTACATTTTATTTTTTTACATCAAACTGGAAACAAACAGAGCGACCTGTTTGGTCACTTGAGCTGATTAAAATTCTAAAGGACATGTGTTATTTAAGATTTCTTTATGTCTGTTTTGAGCTAAATAATTCATTCTGGCAAGCCTCTAGTTTACAACCAAGAGGGAGCATGTTCTGGTGGGAGGAAGAATAAAAGAGCCTTTGATTCCTGAGCTTCTGAGTTGCAGCAGGAGGCCAGCACTGCCTTGGGCTAGCGTCTTACTTGGGGACTTCGGGAGCCATCTTAGCCCAGCTGTGCGAATGCCAGCCAGTGCTGGAGCAGGAGAACATACCCCTGGCTCACGTTAAACCCCTGCTCACCGTCCACGGAGGACTTTCTATCATTTCCCATGCCTTGCGTTAACGTGGTGGTAGTGGCTGATTTCCACCATGTCAGAGCTTCATCTGAATTTGCTGTTTGATCTTGGTTGATGTCACATTTCTGTGACTCCTGTTCTCGTATTCCATCGGCTGACTGAGTACAGAAAATACATCAAGTCATAAGTTTCTTTATGCTCTCTTTTTGGACTACAGCACCAATGAAATTAGCATTTTTCTTTAGATTTCTCTGGGGGAAAAGTGACCCATTGTACTGTGGATTTTCATGTTTATTAAATAAGTAGCTTCTACCACCAAACTGGTGTTTTCAGGGCCCTTAGTGAATTGTAGGTGACAAATTAAGCCTATAGAATTGGGGCAAGGAGTCATTTTAGCAACTGATTTTTTTTTTTTTTTTTTTGGTCTTTTTCCTTTTTATCAGTACCAGGGATCGAACTCACGACTGCCTGCTTGCAAGGCAGGCGCTTATGCCGCTGAGCTAAATCCCCAGCCCCCTGATTTTTTTTTTCTTTTTGAAACAGTGTCTTGGTATTCTGGTGCAAGAGAAGCAAAAGTACAAAATGAACAGGTTTATTGAGTTGAGGACGTGGAAAGGAGCACACAACCCGTGGCGGCTGGGCTGTCTCCTTCGACCAGGAACGGAGAGGCAGAGTTATATGACCTCTGATTGGAGTGGTGCATGGGGTGGATCTTGATGACTTGGAGGTACCCATTGGAATTCCCTGTGCATGTAAACAGGAAGGGGTGAAGGAGAAGTTACGCTTTGGCCCTCGCCACCTTAAACCACCGCCATAACTGAACAGTAATTTGTACTAGGGCAAGAACCTTTCACATCTCACTGTGCCATTCGGGCTGGCCTTGAGCTCACTTTGTAGGTCAGGCTGGTCTCAAACTTGCAACAGTCTTCCTACCTCAGCTTCCCAAGGGCTGGGATTACAGGCGTGTGCCACCACGCCTGGCTCATTCCAGGCATGTAGATGTGAGCACCTTACATGATACAAAAATGCCTCAGTGGGGAGAATCTTTTATATTATTATTTTATTGTATTATAAAAGTAATTTTTTTATTCCTCCAGATCCCACCTTCCTTGTTGAAAAGTTCTCATTGCCGACTGCATAGAAAGTAAAACCTAACCGGGTTTTGACTCTTTTGTAGCCTGCATTATAGGAAGAGTTAAAGACTCTGCATTGTAATACATATTTGGTTGTTATCTTTGTTACACTAGCTCTTGAAGCATTCTGATTAGGACTTGGAGCTGCCAAGCCCTGTCCTGCAGTATTATCTGGAGCAGAAATTTTCCATGTGGTTGCTTTTGTGGAGCTGCTATATGTAACTCTACCACGAAGGTGTAGGTCATAAAGCGGCAGAACTTTTGGAAGGGGAACTGTGAGTTACGGTATCTTAAAGTTTTTTCCTGCCACTTAATTGTTTTTTCTTTCCCTGTTTGTGTGTATTTCATAAATGTTTACCATATTTCTGAACTGAGGTTTCTTTTTAGTTTTATATACTGGAAAGAATGCCAAATTTGTTAGTCTTTCTTACTGTGTATTTCTTCTCAGCTTTTTACTTTGAATTCATACTTGGTAAGGTAATCACCCTGGTTATGTGTTCTATAAAACAATGTCCTAAAAGAGAAAAAAAAAATCAATCCAATGGCTACATTATTGTTCTGTGAATTGAAAACAATATACTAAGAGTCCAAATATTTCTTTTCAATGTAAAAATTTGGGCTCACTTTTTTATAAAGGAAGAAAAATACCAAACTTTACTTGAGCTATCCTGTTCATTGTTTTTCCTTTCCCCTTTCTATTTATTTACTTTTGATTTGACTCATGTTGTTTAAAGTTTTAAAAGAGAGTTTATATGTTTTCTTTAAGAATGCCGCGTAGGGGCGGGGCCTGTCATGACTTTGTTTACCACTTTGAGATAGAAACAAAGCGGGCATCTTCTGCTCTGTAGGATGAGAAAGCTCCTAACTGGCTTTTGTGATGCCTGGTTTCATTGGACTTTTCCTTCTTTCTGAGAGAAGATGGCTATTATATGTGTAATTTTAATCCGGAGGCTTATTTTCTGTGATCTGGGAATGCGGGTGGTGGCATCAGGGGCACATTGAGAATTCAGCCTATTTCTGTTGTGGCTTTCAGCGCTGTAGTTAGTGGGCACATTTTCCTGAGGCTCTGTTATTTTCTCCCTTGTAACAGTTGGTTTGCCTCAGTTACCTTGCTTGGTGTTAATTTGTGTCAACGTTGTGTGATTGTGATAATGGGGTGTAGGGATAATAATGTTCCACCTGCCAGCCATGTAGGCTGTCTTTCTCTACTGAAATGGGTTCTTAGTTGCCATTGTATTGGGAAATGTGGTTGGGCCACTTTCTCACTAGCAGAACTCCACCCTGAGATGACTACCTGATTAAAGAATTAGGTGCCTGGTGTGCTTTCTCAGCTCCAATCCATAACAGGTTCCCATGAGTGTCTTGGCCTGAGCCGTCCTTCTAGCTGAGATTAAAGTGCTTCTGATTGGAGAGGTGACCCCTTGATTATCGGCAGAGAAGCACTTTCATCTTTGGCCTTTGGAAGCAAAGTATGCGGTAAAATACTCCCCTCCATGGTTTGAATTCCAATGGTGTTGTGTAGAGCTTCGTGAGGAATGATGACCTCATTCAGCTAGAGAGGTATTATTTGAACCCCTCTACCTTCTGGCAAAGTTATAATTAATCTCAAGGTTATGCAGGAATATCTGGGTTTTCCAAATTCTTCCTGAAAATTCCAGGTTTAATGTTTGAAGTGAAGAGAGGGAGAAGGAGACACTGAATTAGTAAAAATGTAAAAATATTTGGGAAGGTAATGGGTTCTTGGTGCAGCTTCTGAGTCTTCTTCACTGCGTGTATACCTCATTTAGCTCCAAAAAGAGGGGCACACAGATGCATGCTGTTGAACAATATTCTTTTCCCTTTTTCTCTAAGCAGTCAAATAACCAGGGGTCAGATTTATCCATGTGTATTTCTTCAAACAGGAAAAACAAGCCTGATACATTCTTCTAGACGATTTCGTTGTGATCTGCTGCCACACAGTATAAGGTATATATCCACAGGATCAGTTTACAAAAAGTCACAGCTTCATTTGTCTTTCTTTGGTGTTTGTAACAGGATCTTAATTGTTAGAGCACAAGGATGGTATTTGCACTTTGAAGTGAACAGTGCGATGATACCTTGCATAGTCTCTTGAGCATGACCAGATAATTGCAGAAATCTGATCTTAAAATCATGAATCATCTTGTCCAGAGTTCTCAGTCTTTTCTAATTCAGCTCTCATGTGTTGTTTGAAGGTCTTTTGGCTTTCAATCAGTCTAACGTTCTATGATTTGGCTAAAAAAAACAGCAGCTATATTGAATATCCTTTTCCAGTGATCCCTTTTCCACTAGCAGAGAAGAATCCAGCCTCCTCATTTTACAGGGAATGAAAATTAGCCTTGGGGAAACCAATTGATTTGTCTGAGGTCATACAACTTAATCAGCTCCTTCATTAGGGTCAGATTGTCACCTCTCAGGGCAAATCCTTTTAGTCATCAAATAAGTACCTCCTGTGACCCAAGGCACCGTGAAGAATTCAAAAGGAGAGGACCAAGAGGACAAGGTCCTTCTCTCTAAGAGTTTGTGCTGTTAGGGGACAGAGGAGGACATGTCCTGCAAATTACGTTTTGGCCAGTGATATGTGAGACAGAGGCCTAGGAGGATTCAGTACAGAGCGATTAAGGGGGCGCTAGAGGCTTAATGAAGGCTGCAAGAGACATTTCTTCAGGGCCTTAAAAGATGTATTCCACTTTCAAAGTTATGGCTGGGGTGAGACCCTTTCCCAGCCAGACTCCTTGGTAATGGAAAGTGGCCTGGATCCTTTTTCCATGATTCTTGTCCCCTACTGACTTTCCGCAGTGATCGCTTTGTTGGCAAATCAGATGAACGCAATTCAGTCCTTACTTCTTGCAGAACACCTCACTGTCTTGATGGAGATGCCAGCCTTTCCTCCCAAGCCCTGTTCTCTCCTGTGCCTTACGCCCAGGCCATGTTTTCCTGAAGTGCTGGAGTTCAGGGCTCCATGGCTGGCACTGGTTGGTGTCTCTGTTCCCAGTGCTGTTGGTCATTCTTTATCCACTGTAAGGTCCTGAACTCCTAAAAATTTGATAAAAGCCTCTGGCTCTGTGTTTTCATGAGAATAGTGCTTACAAAGGTGATTCTAGCCTTTCAAGGTTTCTGACCTTTAAACTGGCAGTTTCATGCCCCGGAGGTATTTGCTGATCATCCCAAGCTCTCTTGGGCCCTTTCTCTTTTTAGGCCTGTGGCTCTGGCTGCTTAGAGAACCACAGCAGAGCTTCTGGTCTTCCCTCAGTGCCGCCTTCTCACCCTCTTGCTGTTCCCATTCAGGGACTAGTCCTACTGTCCTCTTCCCGTGGTTTGACTCTGCAGTTTTCTTTTTTTCTTTCTTTTTGTCTTTTTCTTTTTTATCGGTACCGGGGATTGAACTCACAACTGCCTGCTTGCAAGGCAGGCGCTTATGCCGCTGAGCTAAATCCCCAGCCCCGACTCCGCAGTTTTCCTTCTACCCTGCTCCCTCCCTCAGTCTGCACACCCAGTGGTCCAGCCCCATGCGTGCCTGTTTCATTTCCTCTGTATCTCTTGAGTTTATCATTGCCTTTATTCTGGTTTGCGGTGGTAGCCAGCTGGTCTCTCTCCGTGTTCATTGCTGGTTCCTGACAAGCTGTCTCTTCATCAAGGCAGCCAGATGACCTTCCTGAAGCATTGTTAGCTATCCTTAGCCTCGAGTACGTATGCCTTCCTGGGCTCACTCTTCCTTTATTAAAAAAAATAGGAAATTAAATAGGCTGGGCTTGGTGGTTCATACCTATAATTCCAGCACTCAGGATGCTGAGGCATGAGTTCAAGTCCAGCCTGGGCTACATGGTAAGTTCAAGGACAGTCTGAGCTCCATACTGAGGCCCTGACTCAAAAATAAAAAAACAAAAAATGTGTATATATAGTAACTATGTCAGTGCAATAATAAATATATTTCAAATTGGTCTTGTTATATATTCATTATTGTAGGCACTATGTCTGAGTGGTACCCCGCCTCTGTTAAATGAGCAGAAACAACATTTCCCCCCTATCCTGGGACCTTTATGCTGAGCAATTCCCCCAGACCATCTTCTTTTTTCCTTTAAAAATTAAAAAAACCTTTTTTGAAACAGCATCTTACTAAGTCACTACGTTGCTCATCCTGGGCCAGAATTTATGATCCTCCCACTTTAGCCTCCCAGACTGCAGGGGTTTCTGGTGTTCCCTGCCATACCCAGTGTCTTAGTTACTTTTCTCGTTGCTGAGACAACATACTTGACACCCAGAGTTAAAGGAGGAGCCCGGGGGTTTAGCTCAGTGGCACAGCATTTGCCTGCATATGTGAGGTCCTCAGTTCTATTTCCGGTACCCTCTCCCCCCAAAAACTAAAATGTTAAAAGAGGAAAAGTGTATTTAGCTCACAGTTTTCAGAGAGTTTAGTCCATCATCTACTGGCTCCAAGGCAGGGTGGCTCACCAGAGGTACATCTCAGAGGAGAACCAGTTCATGTCAGGTAAAAGATAGTAAAAACAAACAAGGGAGACCACAGCTCTTTCTATCCCTTATACCTTGTCCACCTTACCTAGGGTGGACAGCACCCCTATCCTTAATCCTAATGCCTTTGATTCTGGCATTGTACCGTGAATCAATCCCAGCATCACACACTCTAGCTCTAGCCACCTCTGAAAAATCCCCTCCTATGACTGCATGAAGCTTTGGAGAGATATCTAGATACAAACCAACAGAACAGAAATACTTTAAAGATAAAGTTGGCATCATACATCCACTGCTGAAGACTGGGGAAGGCAAGTTACATTAGTATGTGGCGCTTTTATAATGTGGCCTAGATAGCCAGCTCACTAAAAGTAATACTAAGATTTTTGTAGTTTAGTCTTTGGAAAAATTTACAGAGAAATAGGATGTTACACTTAAAAGGTATACTCTATATATATTTAAATAAAAATCATGAGATTTTTATGTTGCCAAAAATGTCCTATAAACTGTTTTACTAATATGCAAATATTTTCATGATGTGTCTGTGTAGTGGGTGGATGTGGCCTTTGTACTCTTGAGGGGCTGTGTCCCTGTGCTTGGAGACATTTTGGTTTGATTCAGCTTCATGGAGGAGTCCTTCTGATGTCTGGTGCATCAAATCAGGGGCATTACTAACCACCCCCTGTGCTGCACAGGGCAGCGCCACAGCCAAGAATTATCCGGCCCAAAATACTAGTGTGTCACACTCAGGAAACTCTTGTACAGAGCAATCCTTCATAAAGCTTGGTTTTCCCATC